CATAATTGGATGACAGTAGAACTATACAAAAGATGAGGTAATGTCCCTCGGCCTAAGGGTTCATGTGAAGAGCACAGGCCAGAAGGCTGGCGCTTGTATACTGGCGTTAGGTGGTAAGGGACGGGTAGCAGACGAAGACATTGTCACTGGTAGGCGGGATTTCCCATTGGAAGCAGATCATACCCGATGGACTGGTTAATGGTGATGGTGGTAGTAGTAGTTAGTAGTAGTAGTAGTGAAGAAGGTTGTGTGATGTCCTCTGCCTGTGCTCCAGTTTCTCCAGGACTACGGTGCTCTTCGCACCAACTCCAAGGCTGAGGGATTGATTACCTCATCCTTTGTATATAGTTCTATTGTCGTCCAGTTATGTCCTGGAACTTGTATTGATAAAGCCACTGGATGACGAAATGTCTACAATAAAGATACCCAGATGTTGTACAAGTGTCTAATTTTGATCTTGTTGTTATTGTATCTCATTCACATACAACTTACGCTGCGATCTTGGGAGCAAGAGAGAGAGAACGAGAGAGAGAACGAGAACGAACGAACGAACACCTTGCTCGTCGTGCGAGTCGCCTTATGTTTAGTGTTCAGATGTGGGCTTTTCTCCTATATTGTGGCCTCTTGTTTCTTCTGTCAGAGATTGGCCTCTTTGGACGTTACCCGACGCTTATCCTTGTTGACAGAGGATGGGGACCCCAGAGTAAAAATGGTATCAAATACTAACAGGTTGATGAGTTAGAAATACGTGCAGCTATTGAGAAACGTTGGGAAAAGCTTCAACAATAAAGATACCTAGTTATTGCATACGTGTCTTACTCGTCAAGTTGTTGGACGAATTTGGGAGGGAATGTGAAAGACTGCAAGTAAAAGTGAATATAAGACAGAGCAAGTGATGAGGGTAACAAAATATTTAGGTAATGAAAGATTAGATATCAGATTGGAACGGGGGAGTATTGAGGAAGTGAATGTGTTCAGATATTTGGCAGTGGACTTGTCGACGGACGGGTCTATGAAAGACAAGGTGAACTATATAGAATTGATGAGAAGAAAAAGGCGAGTGGTGTATTGAGGCATCTGTGGAAACAAAAGAACATTGTCCATGGGGGCAAAAAGGGGATGTATGAGAGTATAGTAATACCAACACTCTTGTATGGGCGTGAATGTCGCATCGAGGAGGAGGCTGGAGGAACTGATGTCCTTTTGTCTGAAGGTAATGTATATGGATATGCTGAAATTTAGAAGTTTGGGGATTAGAATGTGATGATAGCCAGTATTGTAGAATATGATGATGAATAGCCAGAATTGTGTAAATTGATAGCCAGTATTGTGTAAATCGATAGCCAGTATTGTCAATTGATGATAGCCAGTATTGTGGAATATACCTTTGATATATCTTCAAGTTTCGAGTCTCACTACTCTCGGAGTCCGGCCATAGGCCAGGCTCGTCTGGTGCTTGCCTGGTCAACCAGATTGTTGCTGCTGGAGGTCTGCTGCCCCACATATCCATCACAGCCTGGTTGATCTGGCACCTGGTGAAGATACTTGTCCAGTTTTCTCTTGAAGGCTTCTGCACTTGTTCCAGCAGTGTTTCTGATCTCTTCTGGGATGTTGAATAGTCTGGGACCCCGGATGTTGATACAGTGTTCCCTTATTGTCCCCACCGCACCCCTGCTCCTCACTGGGTTTATTTTGCACTTCCATATCTCTCACTCCAGTATGTTATGGCAGTGTGGAAATTTGGGACCAGGCCCTCGAGTACTTTCCTAGTTATATATATCATATAAATATATATCTCTCTCTCTCCGCTCCAGTGAGTACATGTTCAAGACGTTAAGGTGTTCCCAGTAATTTAAATGCTTTACTGGCTCAATGTGTGCCGTAAACGATCTCTGTTCCAGCTCTGATATTTCTCCTGCTTTGAACGGGGCCGTTAGCACCGAGTAATATTCTAAAGGAAGGAGCACTACCGATTTGAAGTGTGTTACCATTGGCATTATTTCCCTTGTTTTGAAAGTTCTCAATACCCTCTATCATCCTCCTGGCTGTCGTGATATTTGTCTTATTATGTTCTTTAAAGGAATATGATGATGGATAGCCAGTATTGTGGAATATGACGATAGCCAGTATTGTGGAATATGATGATAGCCAGTATTGTGGAATATGATGATAGCCAGTATTGTGGAATATGATGATAGCCAGTATTGTGGAATATGACGATAGCCAGTATTGTGGAATATGATGATAGCCAGTATTGGAATATGACGATAGCCAGTATGTGGAATATGATGATAGCCAGAAATTTGTGGAATATGATGATAGCCATATTGTGGAATATGATGATAGCCAGTATTGTGGAATATGACGATAGCCAGTATTGTGGAATATGACGATAGCCAGTATTGTGGAATATGACGATAGCCAGTATTGTGGAATATGATCGATAGCCATATTGTGGAATATGATGATAGCCAGTATTGTGGAATATGATGATAGCCAGTATTGTGGAATATGATATAGCCAGTATTGTGGAATATGATATAGCCAGTATTGTGGAATATGACGATAGCCATATTGTGAATATGATGATAGCCAGTATTGTGGAATATGACGATAGCCAGTATTGTGGAATATGATGATAGCCAGTATTGTGGAATATGATGATAGCCAGTATTGTGGAATATGATGATAGCCAGTATTGTGGAATATGACGATAGCCAGTATTGTGGAATATGATGATAGCCAGTATTGTGGAATATGATGATAGCCAGTATTGTGGAATATGATGATAGCCAGTATTGTGGAATATGACGATAGCCAGTATTGTGGAATATGATGATAGCCAGTATTGTGGAATATGATGATAGCCAGTATTGTGGAATATGATGATAGCCAGTATTGTGGAATATGACGATAGCCAGTATTGTGGAATATGATGATAGCCAGTATTGTGGAATATATGATAGCCAGTATTGTGGAATATGATGATAGCCAGTATTGTGGAATATGACGATAACCAGTATTGTGGAATATGACGATAGCCAGTATTGTGGAATATGACGATAGCCAGTATTGTGGAATATGACGATAGCCAGTTGTGTGGAATATGATTGATAGCCAGTTGTGTGGAATATGATGATAGCCAGTTGTGTGGAATATGATGATAGCCAGTTTGTGTGGAATATGATGATAGCCAGTTGTGTGGAATATGATGATAGCCAGTTGTGTGGAATATGATGATAGCCAGTTGTGTGGAATATGATGATAGCCAGTTGTGTGGAATATGATGATAGCCATGTTGTGTAATATGATGATAGCCATTGTGTGGAATATGATTGATAGCCTAGTTGTGTGGAAGTATGATATAGCCAGTATATGGAATATGATGATAGCCAGTAGTATGGAATATGATGATAGCCAGTAGTATGGAATATGATGATAGCCAGTTGTGTGGAATATGATGATAGCCAGTAGTATGGAAATGATTATAGCCAGTTGTGTGGAATATAGGGATAGCCAGTAGTATGGAATATGATGATAGCCAGTTGTGTGGAATATGATGATAGCCAGTAGTATGGAATATGATGATAGCCATAGTATGGAATATGAATGATAGCCAGTAGTATGGAATATGATGATAGCCAGCTGTGTGGAATATGATGATAGCCAGTAGTATGGAATATGATGATAGCCAGTAGTATGGAATATGATGATAGCCAGTAGTATGGAATATGATAGCCAGTTGTGTGGAATATGATGATAGCCAGTAGTATGGAATATGATGATAGCCAGTTGTGTGGAATATGATGATAGCCAGTAGTATGGAATATGATGATAGCCAGTTGTGTGGAATATGATGATAGCCAGTTGTGTGGAATATGATGATAGCCAGTAGTAATGGAATATGATAGCCAGTTTTGTTGTGGAATATGATGATAGCCAGTAGTATGGAATATGATGATAGCCAGTTGTGTGGAATATGATGATAGCCAGTAGTATGGAATATGATGATAGCCAGTTGTGTGGAATATGATGATAGCCAGTTGTGTGCAATATGATGATAGCCAGTAGTATGGAATATGATGATAGCCAGTAGTATGGAATATGATGATAGCCAGTAGTATGAAATATGATGATAGCCAGTTGTGTGGAATATGATGATAGCCAGTTGTGTGGAATATGATGATAGCCAGTAGTATGGAATATGATGATAGCCAGTAGTGTGGAATATGATGATAGCCAGTAGTATGGAATATGATGATAGCCAGTAGTATGGAATATAAATGATAGCCAGTAGTATGGAATATGATGATAGCCAGTAGTATGGAATATGATGATAGCCAGTTGTGTGGAATATGATGATAGCCAGTTGTGTGGAATATGATGATAGCCAGTAGTATGGAATATGATGATAGCCAGTTGTGTGGAATATGATGATAGCCAGTAGTATGGAATATGATGATAGCCAGTTGTGTGGAATATGATGATAGCCAGTAGTGTGGAATATGATGATAGCCAGTAGTATGGAATATGATGATAGCCAGTTGTGTGGAATATGATGATAGCCAGTAGTATGGAATATGATAGCCAGTTGTGTGGAATATGATGATAGCCAGTAGTATGGAATATGATGATAGCCAGTTGTGTGGAATATGATGATAGCCAGTAGTATGGAATATGATGATAGCCAGTAGTATGGAATATGATGATAGCCAGTAGTATGGAATATGATGATAGCCAGTAGTATGGAATATGATGATAGCCAGTAGTTGGAATATGATGATAGCCAGTAGTATGGAATATGATGATAGCCAGTAGTATGGAATATGATGATAGCCAGTAGTATGGAATATGATGATAGCCAGTTGTGTGGAATATGATGATAGCCAGTAGTATGGAATATGATGATAGCCAGTTGTGTGGAATATGATGATAGCCAGTAGTGTGGAATATGATGATAGCCAGTTGTGTGGAATATGATGATAGCCAGTTGTGTGGAATATGATGATAGCCAGTAGTATGGAATATGATGATAGCCAGTAGTATGGAATATGATGATAGCCAGTTATGTGGAATATGATGATAGCCAGTAGTATGGAATATGATGATAGCCAGTAGTATGGAATATGATGATAGCCAGTTGTGTGGAATATGATAACCAGTATTAAAAGCGTAATGTTTGCAGAACTGTAAATTGTAGGTGTAAAACAATGCGTCTATATATATATTTAAATGCCAGAGTATTAAGCCCAGTGTTTTAAGGTATGTTTTGTTTAAAGTCGCGATGTACTTGGTCATACAAATCATGATCTTCAGTCACCGCATGAGAATATTAGCAGGCGGGATGTAAAGTTATTTAAATGACTCTAGGGCTATCTTGACCGTACATTACGTGACCTTCGTGGTGATCTTCGTGGAATGTTATGTAAGTGTATGTAAAGCAGTAAGGAGAGTACATAGGGGCCCAGGCGAGGTGTAGGTGACCACGAGGACAGTGAAGGGACAGCACCTCTTCTTTTGGTGAGTCCTGGCTCAAGAACGTTGTAGATGTACAGTAGACGGTGCCACAGGTGTCTCTTGAGGTCGAGCGCCTTGGTGGTGTGGTTCTCAAGTAAGGTTCTGAGGGCCACGTGAGCTGCCTTGACCCACACGTAGTGGTGTGGGTGGAATACTTCCTCTACCTTGTCCATGATGTTTCTGACAGCATAGGGGCTGGTGTGCAGGAAGGTGTCGTCACTATCAAAGTGTTCAAGCCACTGTTCCACCTCCAGCTGGACTTGTTGCTGTGTCTGCTGTGTCCCACACAAGGGACACTCCCACGTCACCTCTCCCAGCCAGTTCCTGGGTTCTAGGAACTGTTGGTCACACAATTCACACTTGGGAGAAGAGTAGTGTAGACCCAGTTCGGTAGGATCCCTACAACGAACACAGTCACAGCTAAAGAAGTGGGTGCTTGTGGTGTAGGCGCGTCGCTCCCACAGTGGCTCAAGTGTGTCAGTGTAAGTAATATAGAGCTGGTCTCCAGGCTGTAGGTCCACCGCTGCCCTCACGAACATGCTGCCCTTACAGTCAGAGGATACTGCGACGGTGGGGCGGCAGGAGTGGTTCATGCGCCCCAGCAGTGGGTAGACACCCCGGAGACTAATTCCTGATGGACTCCGCCACTCGAAGCAGTTAGTAATAATGGCACCACGAGCGTGATGAATGTCCTCTAAGGTGTAGTCTACTTTAAGTATTTCCTTGATGTAGCGTACAGTTGCCATGTGGTGTTGCTCCTTTTCCTCCATGCGACGCTCGGCGTGGCTAGCCATGTCCAAGAAGCGGTGCCACGCTAGGGGATTTCTGTCACGGAGGAGGAGGCACCGAAGAACAAGAATAATGTCATACCGCGGGGTACTGCCTGTAACTTTTGGCTGTCCGATCCTGCTGGTGTCGGCGGCCAGGACAGGACACTCTGCCTGATGAAGACTGCTGGAGGCGCATGCGGCGGAGCACAGTGGCCACCAGCACACAGGGCAGCGGGGAAACTCTGTGCCAAGAATGGCCTCATGGCAGCCAAGACAGATTAGCGAGGAGGTGGCTCGTGGCCCCATAGCGACTGGACTCTCCCTCAACAAGAAGTTTCCTGCTCTTGCTTCACGACTCGTCACCAGATACCTGAAAAAGTCGTCACTGCCTTAATACCCACATGAACGTCTGCAAGGATCATTATTATATACTCAAAGCGCTAAACCCATATGACTTCCCCGTCAAGGAAGGTTCCTTGATGTTGGTGAGGGGCTCTTGATTTAGGGAATTGGATCTGTGCTCCAGTTCCCTGAATTAAGCCTGAATACCTTCCACATCTCCCCCCCCAGGCGCTGTATAATCCTCCGGGTTTAGCGCTTCCCCCTTGATTATAATAATATTCAGCAAAGGTAGCAGTGGATTGTTTATTCACGAAGTTCTAAACCTGTAAGAGTCCAGCAGTGCCGACATAACGAGACGTGTATATACCCTCTGCTTTGTCTAGTCGGTTATGTAAATCTGGTTGTAATAAGTCTTAAAACATACTGCTGAAAATATATATACGCGACGGTCTGGAGTTTTGAGACTCTCTGACTGCGGGTTCAAATCCCGCCCGTGGTATGGTTTATATATACGACTTGTGAACTAAAAAGGCAAAAGAAATATACTGCTGTTATGAAACAAAGCAACCGAATTTCGTTAAAATTAACATTAATTTTAATCCCTATTCAGTGTATTTTAGGCATAATGAAATGCAGTTTGCTACTTTCGTGACGGCCAGACAGATTTTCAGAGTTATTACAACAGTTAATTTACACTCAACCAGCTGGGTAAAAGGAACATTCCTTTAGAAGCTTAGATCACAAGCTCTACCTAAAGAGCACGACATAAATATATCACGGTACGGGTGGGGATTGAACTCGCGGCAAGTAAGCTATAAAACTCTAGGCCAACGCTTAAGCCATTGGGCCAGCTGGCTACAGTAAGATCCATCCAGCTAGGTATATAATTTACACCATAGGAAGGTTAACACAGGCCCCAATGTGATTACATATGCAAGTTTTTACATATCTTCCGCCAGCGTGGCAACGCTGTGAAAACTTGCATTTGTGGTCACAGTGGGGCCTGTGCTAACCTTCCTATTATGTATAAATATGCCAGTTGGATGAATCTTATTGTAGCCAGCTGGTCCATTGGCTTACGCGCTGGCCTGGAGTTTTACGACACTTGCCGTGAGTTCAAGTCCCACCCTTACCGTGGTTTATTTGCAATAGCGTTGTTACGATTTCGTGAGACATATACATGACTCTTAAGCCAGCAGCTCCTACCTGCCTGCCATAGAGTCTGTGTGCTCGACGACGAGACAGCTGTGGTGGTCGTCGTTCCTGGGTTGTTGGCACTGGTGGTGGTCGTTGCTGCAATAGTCATTCTGGCGACCATCGTTGCAACAGATCGTCGTTTTTGACTCTTCAACACACTCGCACAGTCTCTCCATACTCATGATGTAGGCAGGAAAATATATCCCTAGTTTTTAAACAAAAAAAAAATCGGTTACCGTGACACATTACGTAAATATTACACATTGACAGAGCACACACAAACCTTTTGTATAAATGTGCAAAACAAGATATTGTGATCCCCGAGTTTCCTCAGCGTATTTTAGTGCACATCAGTCTGTGTCGGGGAAAGTCCAAGAGTGAGGAGCCAGTATACCTGGTAAAGTGTGTGGTAGTTATTATTGAAAGAATTAAGAGTAGATGGAGAGTAGAGTCAGAGATGAACAGTGAGGCTCTAGGAAGGGTAGGGGGTGTGTAGAACAAGTGTTTACAGTGAAGCATATAGATGAACAGTATCTAGATGAGAGTAAAGAGGTTTTCGTTACAGTTATGGTTTTGGAGAAAACGTATGATAGGGTGGATAGGGTAGCAATGTGGCAGATGTTGCAAATGCATGGAATAGGTGATAGGATGCTGAAAGCAATTAAGAGTTTTTATGAGGATAGTGAGGCTCAGGTTAGAGTATGTAGGAGAGAGGGAGATTATTTCCCAGTAAAAGTAGGCCTTAGATAGGGATGCATGATGTCACCATGGTTGCTCAGTATATTTTTAGACGGGGGTTGTAAAAGAAGTGAATGCTCGGGTGTTGGCAAGAGGTGCAGGATTAAAAGAGAGAGAATCTAACACAGAGTGGGAGATATCATAGTTACTTAATTTCTGATGACACTGCTCTTGGGAGATTCTGAAGAGAAGTTGCAGAGGTTGGTGACCGTGTTTGAAAGGGAATGCCAAAGAAGGAAATTAAATGAATATAGGACAAAGCAAGGTGATGAGAAAAAATTGGGTAATGAAAGATTGGATATTAGTGGAGGGAGGGAATATGGAGGTATTTGGGAGTAATAATACTAATAAACATATTATTATTATTTATTATTATTATTATTAGGTTTATTTCTACAAGTACATGTACAGGGTATACAGGCCTAGCTGGCATCAATGACATACAGAAAGCCGCTTGTTATCCTGAGCATTTCGGACAAATTATGTCAGTTTTGTCCCAGGATGCGACCCATACTAGTCGACTAACACCCAGGTACCCATTTTATACTGATGGGTGAAGAGAGACAGTAGGTGTCTTACGGAAATACGTCCCTAATGTTTCCCAGCCGTACCGAAGATTCGAACTGCGGACCTTGGTGTGCGAGCTGGGTGCGCCAGCGATCGAGCAGCAGATGGGTCTGTGAGACACGAAGTGAATCATTAAACTGATGAGGGGGAAAAGGTGAGGGGTGCACTGAGGAGTCTGTGGAGACAAAGAATGTTATCCATGGAAGCATATGGAAATGTATGAGAGCATAGTTATACTAATACTCTTATATGAGTGTGTAGCATGGGTGGTGAAGGTTGCAACAAGAAGGCTGGAAACAGTGGAGGTGTCGTGTCTGAGGGCAATGTTTGATGTAAATATTATGCAGAGAATCCATAACTTGGAGATTAGGAGGTTGCTAGGTTTCCAGAGGCCAGAGGAGTTGTTGAGTTTAGAAATAATGACTTGAAGGCCATATAAATCTGTAATGGAAGGAAGGCGAGGTAGGGGTCGTCCGAGGAAAGGTGGGGAGGGAGGGTGTAAAGGAGGTTTTGTGTGTGAAGGGCTTGGAATTCCAGCAGGCATGCGTGAGTGCGGTGTGTTAGATAGCGAGTGGAAACGAATGGCTTTTGTGACTTGACGTACTGTTGTAGTATGAGCAAAGTAACATTTATGAAGGGATTCAGGGAAACCGGTCAGCTGGAGGTGGCAAGTACAGTGTCTGCACTCTGAAAGTGTGTTGTGTTGTGTATTCAGAGAGGCTCTTCTGAATACCACTATTGTAACGCTTGGTTATTTTAATTACTGTTACCTTCCTGTTAGCTTGAATCAGTCTGGCCATATTCTCTTCTGACCTCCCTCGTTAATAAGGTGTTTGTACCGGCAGAACTGCCGATCACTGGATGGTTCGTGATTTTTGACCATTTTCTGTAAACTCTAGGGATTGGTGTGCATGGAAATCAGTCAATCAGCAGTTTCTAAAATACACCAACAATCATTTCTTCCCCAATCTGATGTTTGGTATGAGGAACAGCAGAACCCCTTGACCATGTCTGCATGCTTCTAGACATTGAGGTGCTGCTAAGTAACTGATTAGATATTTGCACTAATGAGCAGGTGTACAGGTGTGCCTAATAAAGTGGCCACTGAGTGTGTATGCGTATGTAAGTGGGGGTGAAGGCGAAAATACCCATTACTGGTGCGTAAATTTAGATCCTAAGCACTTGACACACGACAGCAATAGCCTTAGAGAATAAAAATAACCGGACACAAAAAAGATTACGCATGCAACCCTGCGTATGAGCAGCAAGTATACAAGAAATGGATGAGCGAGCTGCACTTATATTTAAGTCCAATACAGAAAAAAAAAATTACACGAATATAAGTCAAGCTGTTACAAAGATTTTTTAGGTTTGTCAGGAAACAGGACAAGATTTTCCTGACGCAGATTTTAGTCATGATACGCAGCTGGAGCTTTTGGTCATCTGGTCGAGGCCTTCCACTGGCTTACCAGTCCACCCCTTTAAAAAGAATTTCTTAGCAATTAGTATTTAATATTCTTGTATGAATGGCTTACCAGATTAAACAAAGTATGTGAATATTTGTTAGGTGGTTCAGAGAATCATAAGGAAAATAGGAATTCAAATTGGATGTAAAAAAAAATTGCCAGAATGAGAAACATCGCAGAGACTAATGGATAGAAGACGGAAACATCGCACAGAGACTAATGGATAAAAGACGGAAACATCGCACAGAGACTAATGGATAAAAGACGGAAACATCGCACAGAGACTAATGGATAAAAGACGGAAACATCGCACAGAGACTAATGGATAAAAGACGGAAACATCGCACAGAGACTAATGGATAAAAGACGGAAACATCGCACAGAGACTAATGGATAAAAGACGGAAGTTGGAACATGTATACCACAGAACCACATGAGATATATTGTAATCTTGTACTATAATTAAAATTTTTAAAGGGATGTACCGGTAAGCCAGTTGAAGGACTCGGTCAGATGACCGAAAGCTCCAGCTGCGGGTCAACATATGGCTAAGACCCGCGTTAGGAAACACTTGTCTTGTTTCCTGACAAACCTTACCTAACCTGACACCACATAAGTGGAACAACTGTGGTTCAGTAGCTGTCAGATTTATGGAGGATACACCCTGTAACTCCTACACCCAGACCCTGTAACTCCTACACCCAGACCCTGTAACTCCTGCACCCAGGCCCTGTAACTCCTACACCCAGACCCTGTAACCCTGCACCCAGACCCTGTAACTCTGCACCCAGACCCTGTAACTCCTGCACCCAGACCCTGTAACTCCTACACCCAGACCCTGTAACTCCTACACCCAGACCCTGTAACTCCTACACCCAGACCCTGTAACTCCTGCACCCAGACCCTGTAACTCCTGCACCCAGACCCTGTAACTCCTGCACCCAGACCCTGTAACTCCTACACCCAGACCCTGTAACTCCTACACCCAGACCCTGTAACTCCTACACCCAGACCCTGTAACTCCTACACCCAGACCCTGTAACTCCTACACCCAGACCCTGTAACTCCTACACCCAGACCCTGTAACTCCTACACCCAGACCCTGTAACTCCTACACCCAGACCCTGTAACCCCTACACCCAGACTCTGTAACCCCTACACCCAGACCCTGTAACCCCTACACCCAGACCCTGTGCATTTATTGCACTAACAGCGCCTGGAGTTTACCTGGAGAGGGTTTCGGGGGTCAACGCCCCTGCGGCCCGGCATGAGACCAGGCCTCATTGTGGATCAGGGTCTGATCAACCAGGCTGTTACTGCTGGCCGCACGCAAGCTGACGTACGAACCACAGCCCGGTTGGTCAGGTACTGACTTTAGGTGCCTGTCCAGTGCCTTCTTGAAGACAGCCAATGGTCTATTGGTAATCCCCCTTATGTATGCTGGGAGGCAATTGAACAGTCTTGGGCCCCGGACACTTATTGTGTTGTCTCTGTGTACTCGTGGCGCCTCTGCTTTTCATCGGGGAAATGTTGCATCTCCTGCAGAGTCTTTTGCTTTCATGTGGAGTGATTTTCGTGTGCAGGTTTGGTACCAATCCCTCCAGGACCTTCCAAGTGTATATTATCATATATCTCTCTCTCCTGCGTTCAAAGGAATACATATCAAGGGCCTTCAACCGTTCCCAGTAGTTTAGGTGCCTTATCGCACTTGTGTTGCCGTGAATGTTCTTTGTACACTCTCCAGGTCTGGAGGAGAGATTATCTCTACCACCATCACTACCATCCTCTACCACAATCTACTAAATATCTTGGCAATTTTTTGCCTAACAGTGTAACCACTGTACAGGTGGGGTTAGAACCCCTGACAAGCGAGTCGTAAAACTCACAGGCCAGAGCGTAAACCACTGGATCAGCTCGCTACAATGAGACTCATCCAAATAGATATGTTTATAGACTATAGGGAGGATAACATGGGTCACCACTGTCCAAGTCGAACCGAAGCGTCGTCGTAACCCACAGTCTTTCCTGTGTGACAGTTATTTGTGTATTGTTCCTGTCATGGTGTTGTGCCATATCGTTCATTATTATAACCATAGTTTTAAAGTGCTAACTATACTTTTGAAATATATAAAAAGCCAGTTTTTAATATTTAGTTTTTGTTATATTCTGTTTTTATGTCTAAACTTCTGATTTTTTTTTTTTTTTTTTCTCTCCTTTCAACTGAAATTATCATGGTTCATACATATCTGCCAGAAGACAACTGGGGGTCTATAGCAAAAATATTTCAAATTACCATCAACGTAGTCCACCAACAATGTCAAGTTTGGTGCAGGTGTGGCGCATCAGGAGCACAACCTTGAAGGTGATCACACTAACTGTGCTGAAGTTGTATATGAATAAAAATAGGGATTCTAAAATTGACAGGCTGGTGTGTTAACTATTTGCTTGCAGTCGTGTTATTACGATTTAGTGAGTTATTAATGAAAATCTTGGAGAAAGATGATGATGATTAATAGGTGGCGACTGTAGAACTTCTCGTGCTGTCGCTGTCAACAAGAGACATCAACGACGACACTATATGTATTGTGAAGTCGGCCATTCACGGTGCGTTCTCTCTCTCTCTCTCTCTCTCTCTCTCTCTCTCTCTCTCTCTCTCTCTCTCTCTCTCTCTCTCTCTCTCTCTCTCTCTCTCTCACTCTCTCTCTCTCTCTTTTTTTTTTTTTTTTTTTTTTTTTACACATGGTTTTGACAAGGTTAAGGATCCCTACTTTATTGACAAGCTATTTACAGGTTAAGGATCCCTAGCTTTATTGACAAGCTATTTACAGGTTAAGGATTCCTAACTTTATTGACAAGCTAAGAGCTGTTACCTACATCAGCTCATTTGAAAGCATTTTTATTGTTATGAGACATACAAGTAGGGAACAGGATGAAGTTGGAGCCATCTGTGGGCCAGCATTTTCATTTGATCAACTGACGTTATCTCGTTGACCATCATTATGCTGAACGAATGTGTTCCATCTCGAGTCATCCTGGTATGTATGATCTC